ATTTTTAACCTGGGTATTGTACATATATAGGTTAGTTGTGAGCTTCACGGGCCGGCCGCTTAACTCCCGCAACGAGCAACCAGTGCCCATTAGACAGGATGCTATATAGATGCGTTATCCCTTCCAGCAATCTAACCAAAATTCCTCTGAAGTTTAGTTCGTGTTCTGATGTTGGACCGACTGCGTGTGGTATTAATGCGATTTATAGCTTATGTAGAGACGCTATTAATAACTCAGACTCTACAGCGTCGGATGCAAAAAGATTATTGGATAATGAATCATAAAGATGAAGAAGGAATCGGTTATGGTCTAGTTGAGGTATTATCCTTGAATTTACATGGAGGAATTGAAGGAAATCAGAAACATCTTCAGGATAATTGGTATCCTGGGTCGTCATTCGAACCTGATATCTCCTAAATACAAGTCAGGAACATTACCGTCTATGCCAGCTTGCTTGTATGACATGAAGAAAAATTTAAAAAGTGTCAAAATAAAAACATTCGATTCTACGACTTTCATAGTGAGAATATAAAATTATTTAAGAAATGAGAGAATAGGAGCAGAAAATATTCTGTCATATTAAATAAGTTTCATGTCCTAAAGCTTAGACTTTACCTCTAGAAACAAAATGTACGTTGTTTTTTTTTCTTTCTTTTGTTTCAGGTCTAATAATAACATGTCCACTAATAATTGTCAGCAAGACGAAAGAGGAATGAAAATAATGGACAAAATGATTTGAAAAGTATCAGATTATTACACCAGGTGTCGTCTGACTCTATTGTACTCATAATGGTACCATATTTCCCCGCTTTCCCCTTGCGAGTGACTTTTCGCGTGTTGCAAGTGTGGCCATGTTTCACTGCCACTGCCATCTGTTCTGTTTCCGGCACCACGTAACGGCAGCAGTAGTTAGTTGTTACGTAGGTGTGTATATGTGGGTGGGGTCACAAAGGTTACGGAATTGCATCGCACGCCAGCCAATCAGAACCGGCATCTCGCACGCACGCACGTCGCGACGCTATCTCAACCAACGAATGACCTATCGACCCCTCCTTCCACTTCTGACAAACCCTCACGCCCATGTTACAGGCCTGAAAAACAGTTGATCAGGAGAGTTTCTCCACGCGAGAAAACAACAGGACAGGAAAACTTGCATAATGAGGAGATTCGTATTTGTTTCCTATTCTGAAATATTGCTAAAACGATTAAATCAAGGAGGATGTCATTGGACAGACATGTAGCATGGATGATAGAAATAAGAAAATCATATACTGACTGTCGTTAAGGAAGACCACTTGGAAGATCTAGGAGTAGATAGCAGGATAACCTCTGAACATCTGGACTATCTGCATTTAGAATACCAATCTAAGGAAGATCTGTAGGGTCTTCATAAACTTAAGTACACAAACAAGTGTACGCGATTTGGTTTGGACCATTTCATTCATCAGTAATCTGTCAAGACGAGAGGTCCACAGTCTCTTCCAAAACAGTTCCTCCACTTAATGCGATCTAGAGCTTTCTCCTTGAAATGAGAAATCCTCTTCTGTCCCCAAGGTCATCCAGCATTTTCTTACGTCTTCTTCCTCGTCTTCTGGTCACTTCTAACCGTCCCTCCGGTTTGTTTTGTCTCCAGAGGAAATATCTCGCATATATGGTATCTCTGTTTCTGGACCATATCGGTCATCCCCTTTAAAAATGTCTTCCTGCCGAATGATAATGTTTGTTTTGAATGGAACACAGTGTATATAATTAATAATCTAGAAATAATTACATTCTCTTCTCCATGTCGTCCAGACCAGCTCTGAGACCCATCCAGCCTCCTATCTAATGTGTACCGTGGGCTCTTTCATTGGGTGTAAAGCGGCCGGGCCGTGAAGCTGATCACTCACCTCAATCTAGTGCCGATGTCAAGGATGGTGAAGCTATACCTCCACTCCCCAATACGTCTTCATGGCATAGTGCTTAATTAATTATGCACAGGGACAGTTTTACCCTTTTTTATCTTGTTATCCTGGGTGAAGTATTGTGGACGCTATGGCTGAAATTATTAGAAAAGGTTAGTGGGAGAAATTATGACGTCATTAGGTATTCCCTCGTTGCCATATACACCATTGAACTAAATGTATATTTTTAAATATCAGAGTCTGAAGTTATACCAATTCCATACGCTAAGGCCCTTCAAAGTAAATGATAGTAAATAAGCACTAAGTTTGTGAGACATGTAGAATTTCTACCCGCCATATTCATGTCAAGTCCATTTTATCGTTTTGCGTTTTTACGTAATACTTCGCAAATTGCTTGTTTCAGAACAGCATATACCATGCTGCACCCCTGTATTAAAGTGTGGGAAGTCATGCTAGGTAAATATGAGAACCCCCAAAATATTACCCCAATCCATAAATGAATCGAGCAGTGTACCCCAACAGTAAAGGCGCCTCATATTTACATGACATCCGCTGTTCCTGCCGAAGAATTGTTATGGTTTACTTTAAATCTTAAGTAGTATCTTGAAACAGTTTGTTTCTCTTTCATCTTCGATCACAATTTCACGATAAATAATATTTTCAGTTCGTATAGCACTGCTAAATCAAGGACGAAGCGGGGGTTTCAGTGCGGTTTACTACGATCGGAAGCCAAACCATTTACCATGCTCAATGAATCGAAGACGGTCGCGGTGTAAGGCGTCGTTCAACTCCCATCCCTATAATCAAAACCCTTCTACACGTACTTTGGTCGTTAGGCCACTTTACTGCCAAATCACAGGCGATTAAGAGCCGTAGTAGGTGCGCTGTACCGACAGAGGTCTGAAAAGATGAGTAGAATTACCCTGCCGGTATTTGAAGATAGTACCTCAACAACGAAAGGCGTTGTATCTGAGATCGTGTGTTCAGTAAATGTGACGATGTCATGGATTCTTATTTCATTAAGGTGTTTTAGATGCATTTACTGCATAATGAGGAGTTTCATAACCTGTACCCTTCTCCAAGTATAATTAGAATGATCAAGTCAAGGAGGATGAGGTGGACAGGGCATGTAGCACGAATAGGGGGGAAGAGGAATGCACATAGGATATTGGTGGGAAATCCAGAAGGAAAGAGACCACTGGGAAGACCAAGACGTAGGTGGGTGGACAATATTAAAATGGATCTTAGAGAAATAGGATGGGGTGGTATGGATTAGATTGATCTGGCTCAGTATAGGGACCAGTGGAGGGCTCCTGTGAACATGGTAATGAGCCTTCGGGTTCCATAAAATGCTGGGGAATTCTTGAGTAGCTGCAGAAATGGCGGCTCCTCAAGAAGGGCTCAGCGCCATGAGTAAGTAAGGTGCATTTATAAACACTCTTTGCCTTCTTCTTTGAAATTCTTTCATTTTTCTGCCCTTTTATTTCGTTTTCGCTCGATCTTTTATTCCGTCAGTTATTCTGATCTATATTCCTTACTTTCATACATTCCCCTTTTCGTTCCTTTCTTCTTTCACTCTTCCTCATTTTTTTTTCTTATTAATTTTCCTTATTTCTTAGTTGGTACTTTCCTCTGTACATTTGTTACCCTGACATGCTGAGAACTCTCAGAAATAAAAACGGCGCCCTGAGTTAATATCTATGTCAAATTTTGAAGCCGAATATGTGAAACCTCATCTTAAATGAACCACGGCCACTTCCTTGCAGCCACTGCAATTCACATTTCGTGAGACGAACATTGTTAAGGAGCCACGGGTGAGGTATATTGTTCGCATGATGCCATATAGGCAGTCCCAGCATCCGAGACTAGTAAAGTTGCTAATGGCCGACATTTGTCTTGGCCGACACAGGGGGAAGCCGACTGGAAGCCAGTTCCACGCATTATTGTTCTGAGGAGAGGGCGTGTGTGCATGTGTGCTTCAAGGCTAATGATGATAATGACAAAGCACCATAATAATTATGGTATCAGATGAGTAACTGCTTATACATTAAGCTAATATAACAAATAAATAACAGGAACAAATTAATTTGTCTACGAGGAATGCTCGATTATTCGGTGACTAAAAATATTAGTTCTTTTGTCTTGTAGATATTATAAAAGTTAAAATGATCCTTTAGATTATTTCAAAGATGCTTTAATTTAAACATTTAATGTCTTCAGTGGTGTTTTAATTGGGCGTAGTGGTGTATTTACCAGACATTTGGCCGCGCCATAGCTCAGGCGGTTAGTCGCTGGCTTCCCACCGCGGCGGTCCGGGTCCGATCCCAGGTTTGGTCAAGTGGGATTTGTGGTGGACAGAGTGGCGCTGGGGCAGGTTTTCTACAAGTACTTCGGTTTCCCCTGCCAATCTTCATTCCACCAATTGCTCCACAATCACCCTCACCTATCATCTGGGTCTGGTACAATAGGCCAGAAGTGGCCGCAGTATGAGGGACTTAGTCCCACCCCACTAGCAATAAAAAAAATAAAATATTTACCAGATATACATGAATAAAAAACGAATAAGAAAACAAATAAAAATACAACAAAGAATGGCCTTATGTGCGTATATGTTTAATTGGGAAAACTTAGAAGGAATCCATTTTGCACTACTTTGTGGTTTTGTCCCAGTGTCTTTGTGTATGAAATGAAAAAGGAAGCTGGGGCTGCATTCTAGTGCTGACCAGTAAAACATGGCTTTCGGAAGGAATTTCGAACCGCGTAGGATCCGAATAGAACAGAATGTGTCCGGGTTTACTTACTCCCCAGCAAAATGTTTATCCCTTGGTGACATGGACAAGGCGTCGTACCATAAGGATCACATTATCTACATATAAATACATGTATTTAACTTCATGGAGCATAATCATTCTTAAGACGCCAGCCGTCACTCAGCAGTTTCCTTTTGTATGTGTGAAACCCGAAAATTCACAACTTATTCACCAGACTCCGCCATTGGTCCCTATATTACAGTCTCCTAACCTATTTCTTAAAGCTCCTTTTTAATATTATCTTTCCAATTTTTCCTAGGTCTCATAAGTGGTCTCTTTCTTTCAGGTTTGCCAACTAAAATTCTCTACGAGTTCTTCATCTTTCCCGTGCTTTCCGTATAACCTGAACATCTCATCCTTCGTAAGTATATAACTTTAAAATATCTGGTGGAGAGAGAAATTTCTTATTATGTAATTTTCTCGTCGTGTCACTTTCCCTCTCTTAGGTCCAGCTACTTGCAATGCTCTCAATTTACATGATCTTCTTTTAGGATGAGGGATGGAATTTCACACATACACAAACAACATGTAAAATTGTGGATATGAATATTTTCGTATTTAAGCTTTTAGATAAGGGATCGGATGAAGTTATTTCAGGCTTTAGGATGCGTGTTATAAGGCCTGTCCCAACCTTAGTGCCATATAGTAAGTGGACATCAAGGAAAATGTTGCATACAAAAGAGAAACGTGGCTAAGTTACGCTCGAACTGGGGTATTCGTAAGTTTCCACTCTACTTGAGTCTTTACTTCTTCGATTAGTTTGAAGTACGTACTGACAGCTGCGAATAACGAACAGACATGTGTCAACTGTAAACTCATCTAACGAATCGATGCGAAGTTTGGGATTGTGAAACGAGATTATCTATCTATCTATCTATCTATCTATCTATCTATCTATCTATCTATCTGTCTATGTATCTATCTGTCTATCTATCTATATATATATATCTGTCCATCCATCCATCTATCTATCTATCTGTCTGTCTCTCTGTCTATGTATCTATCTGTCTGTCTATCTATCTATCTATATCTATCTATCTATCTGTCTATCGATCTATCTATCTCTCTGTCTATGTATCTATCTGTCTGTCTATCTATCTATCTATATCTATCTATCTATCTGTCTATCGATCTATCTATCTCTCTGTCTATGTATCTATCTATCTATCTGTCTATGTATCTGTCTGTCTATCTATATATCTATCTATCTATCTATCTATCTATGGCTTCACAGCCCTTCGTTGGGCCTTGGCCGTTTTTCAGTTTCTTAATCCTATACACAGTCGGTAGGACTTCTTGGACTGAGGATCAGCCCGTCGCAAGGCCTCAACCTACACACAGTACAATACAAACCACAAAATAAACGCACAAAAACACACATGCCTCAAGTGAGATTCGAACCCACAATCACAGTGTTAGAGCGGGCGAAAACAGTTCATGAGTAGACCGCGCGGCCACTGTGATCAGGGAAACATAGCGTCTATTTCTTCTTTTACTGTAAAATAGAGACGGAAGGGGTAGCTGATGTATGTATTTCGTCTCGAACTCGCAAGTAGTCGTGAGTCCGCTAGGGAGGGCACAGCTGGCAGAGTCTCGGTCGCCTCCTGCCTCCCTGCCGCCATCCTGCCCGCCAGCCTGCCCCGCTCCACCACTCAAATTAGCTCGGAGCCTAATTTTACAGATTGCCTCTCTCCTCGTGTTCCTGTTGGTTCATTATCACAAAACTATACCGAGCTCTATGTATACATACGTCTACCGAGTCTTGCAAAAACTGGAACCTCAGGCATTTGCAGTGCTACCAGTGATAGCAGTGACAGACGGTACAGTTATGAAAATATATTTCTGTGGCTTGGAATTCAAGGGTTGAAGCTCGTCTGTTTACTTTTTTTTTTCGTTGGCGCTACATCCCTCATTTGGGCCTAGACCTACATCGATGAAACTCTCCGTTCACTTCGGTTTTTACTAGATTTTAGACATAGGTAGGACTCCTTGGGCGAGTGATCAGCTCGCCACAAGGCCTCTACCTGTACACTAACACAGAAAAACGCACACAAACATCCATGCCCTGAGTGGGATTTGAACCCACGATCCCGGCATCCGAGTGAACGAAGACAGTGCATGCCTTAATATGATATAGCAAAGTAAACAGACGACGGTCACGGTAGCCGATCGGTTTAAACAAATATTTGCTGACAGATCACAGAGCATGTTGTCTCAAGCATTAATGCTCTTTAGCTATAATTGGGAATGGTCAAAATACTGACAATCCGGATTGAAGTCTTACTCAGTTTTTCCAGAAATATTCAGCGACATTTGCCTATGTTAGGCCACGGCTGTTTTCCCTTCCACACACATTCTGTTTCATCGTCATCCAAAAATTCGATAGCGCCATATAATCTAAGTTACTGATAGTGTAAAAGTAAAGGTATCCCTGTAACTGGCCATGAAGGCCCATAGGGTTGTGAGATGTTGAGGCTCCCACATTTTTTAGACAGTCGGCTCATAGATGGTGGCAAGGTTGTCAGCCTTGGGGCTGGAACACACACAGTGACATCGGTCGTACGGAAAAATGTTGAACGATTTTTTTTTTTGCCGTACGACCTCCCTTTCACGCTAGAGCGACCAGATACATTTCTTTGCTCTCCGACTGTCGTACGGTAGATGTCGCATGTCGTCACGTATGAAAGCTAAAACTACACTTTATGTTCTACTACTTGATGCGACATGAACCATACGGACGTCGTACGACCGATATCGCTGTGTGTGTTCCAGCCCTTACGTTCCGGCCTCCCTTTACCCCTCAGAAAGATTCCTGGTACTCATTTCTGTTAGGCGCTGAGTCGACCCCACGGCCATTATGCAGCTGGAAGTATTAGGTCAAGTGAAAATTCCAATAACCTCATCGGAAATCGAACCCGCGACCTTCTGGCGTGTAGCATAGTGCCTGAACCAACTACCCTACCAAATGCCACATTTTTCACACAACAGAACGAAATAAATAAATTCATTTGGTAACCAACTGAAAATAAAATGTTAAGATAGTATTTTTAGGACACGTGTGCTTGGAAGTCAATAGAAAACGAGACTTCGATTTTGAGGGTCGAAGGTGAAAGAACATGACTCGGGACTGTGTCCCAGTGTTGGAAGTGGAAGCGTGATGATTAATTTTAGGGTCTGGCTGCGAGGCGTGGAAAGGAAAATGAGGAGCTCTGCTCTGTCACCAAGATGTGCAGCTCCTCTGCTACTTGTGTCCCCGTCGTCACAAAAACTGGGCATGTCTAGAGGAGGGTACAAAGTGTGAACCTCGCCGTTATTCTGTTTCCTCCATACTCCTTTTTCTTTCACTTTCATTGATCCATATGTATTTCCTATCGTCTTGTCTTCAAAACACCCTCTAAATATTCTCTTCGATTAAGGCAGCAAACAAATTTCACACCGATAAAAAAAAATACAAACTCCGTGATTTTAGTCCGCAAGCTGACTATACCGACCGAGCGACCGCCGCTTGTCGGCGAAGTTAGTGCCAACTTTTGTAGATAGATGGTGTCGCGTGGTCAGCGCAACGAATCCCCACGGCCGTTAATTTCGGTTTTCTAGACCGGAGCCGCTATTTCCTTGAAATAGCTCCTCAATTATCATCACGAGGCTGAGTGGACCCCGTTCCGGACTCACTACTTCTCAGAAAAAATCTGGTAGCGCCGGGAATCGAACCCTGGACCTCTGGATCTGTAGCCAGGAACTCTGAACACTAGACCACAGAGGCGGTTCAATTTCACACCTGTATAAAAGTTAATGCAGTGGGCCCTTGGTTTACGATGGTTTGATATACGCCGATTTGAATATCAACCAGTTTCAGAAATTTCTAGTAATTTCCTATAATTTTTGCCAAATTTTGGAAAATTCTATACCGAGGTCCCGCTACCAAGAAGGCCACAGCGCAGCAGAGGCAGCAAGAACAAGAACAGTCAATTTTACGGCCTAGATCAGTGGTTCCAAAAATTCTGTCGGTCCATCGCCCCCTTAGCTCATAAACTCATCACCAGTTTCCCCGGTCCAACACTGTAAAAGCATTCTTCAGAATAGCGGGTTGCACAACAACTAAGGAGGATAATAATAATAATAAAATTAGGTACCGCATTTAGTAGGGTACGTGGTAGCGTAGTTGGTTGAGGCACTATGCTACAAGCCGGAAGGTCGCGGTAGTGTAGTTGGTTTAGCTGGAAGGTCACGGGTTAAAGTCTAGATGAGATGGATTTTTTTTTTTCGATTTACCTAACCCTTCAAGCCGCAATATGGCCCTGGGGCCGACTCAACCTTTAACACAAATGAGTACCAGGAATCTTCCTGGGGGCAAAGGGCCGCCGGCGCGTAGGGCTGACAACCTCACCGCCATCTGTGAGCCAGTTTTCTATAGAAATTTTGAGAGCCTCGGCGTCTCACAGCTCTATGGGCCTTCACGGTCTGTTACAGGGATAGCTTTAACTTTTTACAAAATAAATGTGATATGATTCCATATATAATATTTATGTTTAAAATATATAGATCTTTTGTATTTTTTTGTGACGGAAAGTTTAGAATTTTGCTCTGCACTCCAATCAAGGCCGCCTGTAAGAACTGTTTCCTTTTACAAACTAGACTACAGTGTTGTTACAAGGCCTATATTGGCCAGCCTTAATACATTTGCAATTAGATTTATGAATATCTATACTTTATTATTAATGCATCTAAATTTTGGGCTTCGATAAGCCCTTAAATGCATTCACCGCTTATTATCTAGCGACTATACAAAGCGCAGAGTAGGCCCTTACTTGTCGGTGCTGCATGGCTGGTTGAGTTTACCCCTTATGGATAGGCCACCCAACCAACAAGGCAGGCGGCGGCACTCAAAGCCCATTTAGCTGCTTAGGGTGTGCGAGAGAGGAGTAAAGTAGTGGATGGTGGCAGGACACAGGCGGTCAGGAAGAGAAGGGAGCGAGAGGGTTGGACAACAATGTTTTATCGCGCTAACAGCTACCTTCTCTCTCTGTCTCTCTTCATAGCTTTTATGTCTCCGTTTGCTCTCTAAATTATGATATACCACCAAGTGCAAGATAATTAAATTATGAAAACGTTCGCCTGATGCAAAGAAATCCACCCGCAAACACATGTTGAAGTTAATATTTTGCTGGGAGCTTAATCATTAGTAATAATTATTATTGTTACGGGGAGGGGGGTTGTGTTAGTAGCGGAACAAAATGGCGGAAATACATTTATGGAATTGCTTTTGTATCTGTTTAGGAAGGCAGATACATGTTTAGGCCTGCTTCGCTTGGCACTAGTCTTCTGTATGTGGGTTTGTCACAGGGGCACGCGGTAGCGTAG